CTGACGATGCTGGCGAAACGTATTGGAATGTACCACGTCCACGGTCCGACTCTGGAAATGGTCAGGCATACAATTGGCTTAAGGCTAGATGCGTTTCTCTAAGTCTTCATACCAATATGACCAAGTTGCGAAAACGAGGTCAGACAACTTCTAATATTCTAATATGTTAGCCACAAAGTTGTAGTGAGGTGCTAAGAATGACAAGACCACTGACGATGCCGGCAAGACGTATTGGAATGTACCACGTCCATGGTCCGACTCTGGAAATGGTCAGGCATACAATTAACTTCAGGCTAGATGCGTTTCTCTAAGTCTTCATACCAAAATGACCAAGTTGCGAAAACGAGGTCAGACAACTTCTAATATTCTAATATGTTAGCCACAAAGTCACAAGATCATATTTTCTTAAAGCAAGAGAGATGAAGAATGAATAAATTCAATAAATTTAACATGTAATAAATACGAATAAGTCGGTATTTAATTAAATTTTAATAATTTAACTGAATGAATATCACCATCTCAAGTGCAAACAAAATGTGAAGGTTAGCTAGCATGTTATGATGTGCGTATAGCGTATGAATTTCAATAAAACGTAAATACTTTTTATCCATAGCTCAACTCACCTCAATTATTTCCTTAAGCACTTCGATTACAGTGAGGCAGACCTGACTTGCCAGTAAACGGTCGCGTTGCATCTTTCGGCCTGCGGCTTGAAGCTGAGCGAATTGCCAATTGGCGCGTAAAACCGATTCGGCCGAAGACCGGTCGTTTGCACCTCGTGCTACATTTCCGTCAGTTTCGGAACCCTCGACTTGACCAGTGGAGTCAGTGATATCAGCATCGGGTCTGCAAAATAAATCAGCCGTTGGAGCGCTGTTACCGGAATCTGGGATAATACAACTGGTAACAGCAGAGCTTAGCGAAGAGACAGAGGTAACAACTGATCCTAAGGAGGAGCTGGCAGAAGGATTACGACCACGATTGGTTAGAAAACTGTTCAAGTTAGGAAAATGTGACAAAGATATCAGACAAAAATGAGAAAACATGAACAAGCGGAAGTATTATAGGTTCATATGTGCAAGCTAGTCTACAAAATCCTGGCTTATTTTATAAAGTATCATTAATTTAAACATTTTAAATTTAAGGGTACTTATGCTTAACAATCAATCTACCTGGCTTAAATATTAAACATAGGTAGTATGTAAGCTTTAAGCTGTCCATGATGATTCATTGGCATAAAACAGCAAAGAAAATTTATCCTAGTGTATCAGAAAAAATTATATAGGTCTTGCTGATAAGTAGGTATCCGAGATTACAAGTAAATGTATTCACGCTATTCCATTAAGGTGAGGAAGGATTATCAGTTGAATCTGCCGACAATGATATAAGCGGGCATTACGTTTCCACAGAAATTTACATAGCCTTGGGTTCCCAAAAGGTATTCTTATACAAGGTGGACGGCAGTTTCGACATCATATGGGTCTCATCAGCACTCCCAGCGATACTTAAACAGTGATAATCCCGAGTATAATCTCGTTAGGTTAACAATTGAGCCACATTGTCACAAGTAGCCTTGATTTAGATCAAGTAAACAAGCATTTTTACTATATCACATTCCGTGATGGAATTGCCAATGAAGCGAAGTTGTATTTGCTATAGCTTCGACTACATTACTTGTTTTTCTTGGATAAGTAAGTTATCAAAATAAACAGTAGATCTATTAGAAGTTGTTTGACCTTGTTTAGCAACTTGGTCATATTGGTAGGAACGCACCTAGTCCAGAGTCCATCGTATGTATCATCATTTGCAGAGTATGACGTAGTACAGTACCAGACGTTTCGCCATTCTTAGCACCATATTACAACTCGTCAAAGAGACAAGTTAAGCCCATGCTTTGACCAAACGTGTGCTAAACAGTTCTGGTATCTCCCCTTCTGCCCTGGGCTATTTACATTTACTATATCGTGCTATCATGTCTTCCCTGTCAAAATTTTAGCAGTGCTTATTTTTAATGTAGTTTGGTGTGCTCCTTTGAGCGGCATTCATGAAAACCCTTCACACTCCATACTGTCGTTATCACCCCCTTCACTCTTGTGAGGGAATGTTGACCATAGTCTGTCAAATTGTTACTTAGTCCTTCCCTGGGTCCTATCAAAGTCTCCCTGGGTGATTGATTAGAGGCTAAGGCCTCAAAGTAAGTTTCATGGTCAAGCCTTTGCTACATGGACCACGTCTCTTGTAAAACCTACTGTTAGCCAACTAGCTCCAATCGCCGCCTCGTCTATCCTGTCTCTATCCCTAATACTAAGTTTATGACTCGTCATGCCCTAGTTGCTTGTGCGCCAACCCACAAATGTTATGGTCCTGCTTGCTTTGATTAGGTTAAATGTTGAACCACAGCATTTGTGGGTTGGCACACAAGAGACTATGACATAGGAAGTTATAGACTTGGTATTATAGATAGAAAGAGGATAGAAACAGTGGAAGCTAGAACTAGTTGGTTAACAATAGTCGTGATTAAAGGATCATGTTTATGGTCAAACACGTCTATTGTTAGCCAAATAACTTTAGTTTTTCCTGTTTCTACCTGTAATACCATGTCCATCGCTTCCTACGTCCTAGTCTCTTGTATACAAACCCACAAATGTTGTGGTTCTACTTGTTTTGATCAGGCTCACTAAAGACGTCTCCTATATGCTTCTGATTGTTGCTTTCTCACCCCCCTGCAATCTATTTTCCTAAAATTAAAGATATTACCTTGATCCAGTCGCCTTCTTTTTGCTGATCTTACTGTTGCCTGGTCTTCTCCGAGTTTGTATAGTCAATATGCAAAGAGCACATTACACTACATTAAAAATAAACACGGTAAAACTTTTGACAGGGAAGGCATGATAGGAGGATATAGGAAATGTGAATGGCCCAGGGCAGAAGAGGAGATACCACAACTATTTAGCACACGTTTGGTCAAAGGATGGGTTTCACTTGTCTCTTTAACGAGTTGTAATATGGTGCTACGAATGGCGAAACTTACTGACGATGTCGGCGAAACATCTGGGAATGTACCACGTCCACGGACGTACTCTGGAAATGATGATGCATACAATGGATTCCGGACTAGATGCGTTCCTCTCAGTATTCCTACCAATATGACCAAGTTGCGGACCGCGAACGTGGAAATTATCATGCATACTAGGGACTCCGGACTAGGTGCGTTCCTCTAGATCGTCCTACCAATATAAATAAATTGCGAAAACAAGGCCAAACAGCTTCTATACAATGAAAAGAGACTGCGACCAAAAAAAAGGCCACACCATCTTGTTCTTTATACCTTTGATATGAATAAATTATGTTAAATTAAATTGAAACCTAAGAGCTAATCACATCTTGGGGAAATTCAGCTTCCAGTCGTTAATCGACCTAACGAGACGGTGTTAATATATAGACAAGATTTTTTTATTTTATGCTTCGTGTTGGTTATTCTATTTTATAAAATATT